AACTCTCCCAGATTGAAATGTGCATGCATTGTCACCCATTCAAAGAGACAAGAGAAACAAGGGAACGTGCATTAAATCTCTATCCTAACTCAGAAGAGGAATTCATTACCTTTCCTCTGATTACGTCCTTTACTTCATCATAATTGGAAATTGAATCCATTCTCATTTTTCCTTCAACAGTGATAGCATATTCCAGATCCCGACCAAGGTTATCGATCAGTTGCTGGCAATCAAAGTGTCCAATATCAGATAGGTGCATAAATTAGGTATGATGCAATACGTGCGCAGAAGAAAATGGAGCATTTTTGCCTCAGGCATCCACTACAGACTACAAACGTTTTACTATAAACTGCACCGCCTTATATGAGATTACTATATTCTATATCAGAAAAAAAGTGGTGTTCAGCAACCAGCAAGAAAGACCAACTAGCATTGTTAAGTAAAATATAAAGAAGATAACTTGCCTGGTATGCGGATGCCTCGAGCTTAAAACTGGTTGGAATGTCAGATCTGAAAACACCACTTTGGAGGCACTCTACATGGCCACCAATATATGTCTCACTTTCAAGAAGTTTACCTTGGTAGAACTTCTCAGGGTCAGCTTGATTTTTGTTGGGACATACAACATTTGCCTTGTAAGCCTGTGCTGGGAATGAAACATTTGCAATTAATAGAATGAGCCACACAGCAAGAATTTCTAAATATCTTTGTAGTAGATAGGAAGCCACCTCAACCATCAAAAGCATTTCACAAAGGGTGCCACTCCCTTTGCGTAAAACCTCATCAGGGACCATTGGAATGATAGTTGCGAGAGAAAAAACGAACGGATGGACATATGTCATGTATAGGTAGTAAGTTGCAACAGCATCAGAGACAGAGTAGGAGGCCATTGTCTGCAAGAAGATTCCCAACATGAAACAGAAATAAGATATAAGCTCCCAATTCCATGCAGCATCTTGCACAACTACAGCATGGACTATAAAATATCAACTGTATCATCTACATCCGCTGTTAAATGTTTTGTACGATAAGACACTGAGTTTAACAAGCTTCAACCCTTAATAAGGCAATTAGTTAAATTACTTGATCAAAATATGTTACTCTAGCCCATTCCAGCGCAATCAAACAACTAGCTCTGATTCTAAAAAACTTTGTCACACAGAAATAGCATATTATTAATTAATCAGCAATACCTGTGGCTTTTCCATTGCAAACCGAACCATGTCCTCAGGATTCACTTCCAGTGGATCGTAACCCAGTTTTGCCTTTGTAACAGCCTGGCATTTAGTTAAGAGGCAAGCACCACTCAGAATCATAATATGAATTTCACAAAAGACAAATAATGGCGAAAAGAGAGAAATACAATGAACCTTCAGACCATGGCTTCCCTGAGGAAGATAGCTATCACGTTTCACCCAAGAAAAACAATCCAAATGGCACACAAACTTAGCTCGACATTCACCTTGATTATGATCACAACGGAATCCTAACTCCTGCAACCACGATGGAAGGAAAAAAAACACATTATGCCCTGGGGATGGGAACTGAAGAAAATATAGAGAAGAAAAAAGGCAAGAAACAGGAGTAATGGAAGTTTCTGAAATAGAACCAAGGTTTGGTAGATGAGTGCCACCTTGCCAATTCTAAGAAAACTTCAGTATTCAAACGCAAAACACATGTCACTGAATATTCGAAAGATGAAAATTTATACTTCACGGAAGCAGACAAATAATATGTAGAAGCAGGCATCCTGGTGAAAGATAATTCACTAGACAGTATAGGAAGTGCAGCATTACTATTCTAGTTTTAAGCAGAGGCACACTCACAAGGTCACAACAAAATATCAGTGAATAATGTCACAAAGAATTCCCAAGTAGATCATATATTTCCTTATAGTCGTGCAGACAGAATATTTTGTTAGCAATACCACAATGAAGGAAACGTGATACCTCGTTCATTTTGATCCCATGATGCGATGCTCTCCGTTCTATAAATGGCCAGTCAAAAAAGTCACCGTTGTATGTAACATAAATACCAGGTTTCAACTCTTGCATATGAGAAAACCATTTTCGGAGGAGTTCAACCTATAAATCAAAACCAAGAAAGTAACTTAATTCTAAGCACCTCAATCTTTCTGATACAAATATTCAAATCAAGAGCTAATTTACTTTACCTCGTTGTTAACATTCGTGACTTTGAAATACCCTTCAAACTCTGGTTTGGGTGTATATTCCAGATCTTCTATGTCTTTGCCAACACACTAAATTAAGTGCAAAGTTAATGCTACAAATATAATCAAACAAGATTGAAGTGGCCCAAATATTTAAAGAAAATGATAGAGCTGAGATATCAACCAGAGATGATATATCCAATGGAAAATTGTTAAGAAAAAAAAATCAAATATCATGTTTTAAATTATATAGCAAAACGTTATGTTAGTCCATAACAATAAGTCTTACAGTCACACATCATACAAAATCAATCAAACAAGCTGGATAATTTTATATGGATCATATCTGATTTATCTTGGAATCTTGGATTAAGAATGCAATCAACATAATCCAAATGATGGCACAGAAGGGCTATATAGCAGCTTATCTACGTTTATGATTTGGAAGCGGTCATCATCCATCATGTAATATATCACCATTGATTAGATCAAATCCAATGCAATACAAATGTATGCAGCAGTTACCTCTCTGTTAGTAATTAGAAAACCTTGCCCATCAACCATGTAGGATATCATCATAATTTGATCAGATTCAGCATCCGGGAACTTCAATGGAAGCTTTACTGTCTCTATATCGAATGCACAAACGCGAACTTCTGCGCGTTGGAGAAGATCCGTCCTCTTCTCTAGTATGACATCAGTGCTGGAAATACTGACATTGTACCATTGCCCACTACGCACATCTGGACAGCGAGAACACATCATGATTTTGACAACCTTGAGGGCTAAACCAGGATTAAAAGTTTGACTAAATAGGTTACCATTATCAATTGCAAATCGGACATGATAAGGAACATCGTACTCGCGGAGGTCCACCACAGAGTCTAAGCAGTCTTGAGGACGTTGTTCTCTGCATTCCAAGAATTAAAGAGAATAAAGAAAAAATGATCAGGGTATCTGAAACACCTGAGAAGAAACTTGGAAATTATAACTAAGGAACAACAGAGTTTCAAGGGATATAATTTGAAAGAACTCTGAAAATTTATAAGAAGAAAAATACATTGCCTTACCGTTTTCCAGCCAATATGGATTCGTATGCTTCAAATGCATCAAATTTTGCGAGGTTTCGTTCGACAATATGCAACAGATCCCTCTTGACTTCCACCAATTGTTGCACAGTGTCAAATGATACTTTGAGATATTTTTTTTGCAGGCCAGATAGATGATTTTTCTGCTCATGAACATAAGAAATCAAGAAACTCAAATTGGTATGGTAGGTCAACGAAAAAGTTAGCAAAAGTGACAACTAAATAAGAGGTACTGAAAACGTTCATATCTTGCATAATGCTGCCACAAAAGAAGAAGCATTAAACACTTTAAACATTTACTAGCAAAAGTTTTTTGAGTTACTGGCAGGCTAGATAGATGATTTCAGCACATGGAAGCAAGATCAGTTTTAAATTGCAAGAAGAGGAAAATAAGTAAAGTTGTAGCAAATGTAATTGATATGAGTCCTCGGTATAGAAAGAAAGAAAGAAAGAAATCAACAGGTAGGTTAACAAAAGTCGCAGAATGAGGAAGTGAGCACTTGCAACTAGTAAAAGGAGTAATGGTTTACTGACTTACAAGATCAAGATCTTCTTTGTGAACAATCTGAATATCAGCAACTTGTGTTTGATATCGGCGTCTCAAGTAGGCTTCAACTTCCAGTTCCATATTGTCCTGTAATATTGGCATTGCAGTTTAGTTGACATATACTCGAAAACAGTCGAGTAGAGAGAGACAACATACTTTGGTGGCGGCATACAAGTAAGGGCGGAACTTGTACTTAGTCTTAAAAGAAGAGCCGTCCTGAAAAGAAACAAAAGGGAGTGGTTGAGCAACTGACTGGTAAGAAGAAGCTAACATAGTAGTAATGAGAAACACAGCTGGTCACCTGAGTGACAAAGAAAAGGTCCACACAACTAAAGGTTTTCCCAGTATCGGCATCTTCCCAAGATGACTGCCAACAACCAACATAGTAGACTAACCAATCAGTGAGAAGTTTTCTGTATTCAGAGAATTAACTAACTACCAGGGAAGTAGTCACAAAAGCACCACATCAAAAACACATGTTCGGGCAATATCGCATCTCCGAAGACACTTACTGATGCAAATGTGAGTAGCCACCCGAGGCGCGTTTCCCCTTGGGAGAAGAGCCCAAATCCAAGTTTAGTTTCGAGTTCATCTGCGGCTGAAACTTTCTGCATATTCGACCTCCGATCACTTCTCCTTCGTTTATTACGGCGATGCTAAGAGACTCACTCTTGTATCAAATAAATTAGGGTTCAAAACAAAGGGATTCGTGATTGACCCTGTTACGTTGTGATCGGTGAAGAGATGGAATTGTTAGAGAACGAAAAACACAATCTGGACTGATTACAAACTTTACTTATACTGTAAAGTTAAGATCCGGACGGAAACCGGATTCTTCCGTCGCCGGTTTCGCTCTGCCTTTCTTGCTCCGGTTATCAACAAGTTACGAGCTTTTTTTTCCTTTTTCCGGCAAGTTTCCGATTTGGCCCCATTTTTGTAACTGGATTTTAATCTCGTCCGCCCCTCTTCTCAAAAGATTCTCTATTTAGCCCCCGTTATAAATTCTTTTTACTTAGATATTTATTTTAACTCAAGTAATTGGTAAAAGACAATAAAATCTAGACTTTTGGACATAATTACATATCCAACCTAAATTTGGATCTATATCCATCTATGTTGGGTTTCACTGTCGGATCTTTTAATCCCAAATCCTCAAAATCGACAATCCGAAGAGAATCCCTAATCTTTTTTTTTTTCTCTCGAAGAAGAAGAGCAAAGAACTTGAAGAATTCACCGAATCTTTCCGCCGTTCTTCTTTCATAGATCTACGCTATTCTCGTCAAAGCCAATATACGACATCAAGATCCTCTCTGTTGGAAGACAAACAAAGGTAACAACTTTTGTAAAACTTGACAGCAAGAGGAATGGGCGTTAAACTGTCTGAACCAACAGCTCAGATCAGTTGCAGATTGCTATTATGGCTCTTCGTCCCTTTGCTATGTCAATCTACAAGAAGATTATTGGATCGGGAGAGAACTGAAATGATCTTAAGGTTAGGATGTTTTAATTCTAAATAGATTTTTTTTGTTTTGAGATTGACTTGTTGTTCTCTAGAGATTGGTTATCTGGTATCAAGAGTTCATACCCTTCTCTTGTTGTTCCTCGTATCATCAAGAAAATCTAATTATGTTTTTGCCAAATTTGATTTGCTTTGATTGGAATTATTATCAAAGACTTGGGATTTTTATATGGAAGTTTCTTGTTTGTTTTTTGGTGGCAAGATTTCAATTATAAGTAGGTCGTCAAAGAAATAGAGAAGAAGCCCAAATAAAATAATAGACAATGAAGCAGAGAATTTGAGAACAGCATTTGGCGATTCACCTTAATTTTTTCTTTTTCTCTCTCAAAGAAGAAGAACGACGAATTCGAAGAACCCACTGAATCCCTTTGTCGTTCTTCTCTCAAAGATCTACTCTACTCTCGTCGCCGACAAATCTCCAAAAGAAATGTTAGTTGTAATTGAAAAGGATAGTTAAGCCTCCAATTCATGTCAGCAAACCATATACGAATGAAAAGAGAATGAAGGAAAAGAAGAAGGAGAAGGTCTGTTGGTGGTTTTAGATATATTGTATGGTTTTTAGTAACAATTTTTCGGTTTGTAATTTGGTTTCTAAGGTTATGTATAAATCTAAGTGTTTAGGTACAACTGGTACGATCAGGTACAACTATGTTTCTGGGTTTATGTTTTTTTATTATGTATAAATCTTTGAATCTTAATCTAATTATGTATGAATCTTTGAATCTGAATCTTAATATTTTTTAAGTATGAATCTATGTATTGAATATAATCTAAGGGTTTTGAACAAAAAAAAAAAAAAATCTAAATTATTCAAAAAATCTAACAAATATGTAGGTTTGTAAGGGTTTTGATAAATAAAAAAAACAGTGAAATATCTGGAAATATCTAAATATCTAAAAAGATCTGACAAATGGCTTACATGGCGCCGTTATTTTGAAAAAAATAATTAAAAAATAGCACAAATTTGTTCATAGTTGTACAGTTGTACTCGGTTGCACATTTTTGTTCATAGTTGTATAATATAGAGATTTTAGTAAATCTAGTTGTTATCAACTCTAATTTAATTTTTGTGGGTGGAACCGATGGTATTGCCTCATAAAAATATCATTACTTTGTATCTGTGTATTTATATTTATCAAAATACAAGTATTTCAAAAATTTATTTAATTTTAGTTCAAATCTACAAAGTAACCATGAAAGTATAAGGTTGTTAGTGTATGAATGTGGGATTTTGAGTAAGAATGTCAGTATTTTTTAAAAATATGAAATTTTTTTGTCAAAAACTTGTTGTGTAGTTTCATTACCATCGTGTATGCATTTTTTAAGTTTTTTAATTTGGTTTTAAATTTTTATATTATATAAAATTCTAAAAATTAGCCAAGGCAATAGACCTTAGTTGTACATGTGGTACTTAGTTGTACCAAGACTGACAATATTTGCATAGATACGAGAAGAAAATCAACAATAGTTGTACCTGTAAAACTTAGTTGTACAACACAGACTATATAAGTTTCACAAACAACATCGTTTCTTAAATTATCCTAATAAATGACACTCGGAAATCAACCTTGGTCACCCACATCGTCTCTATCAACGTCACCATTGTTGATAAATCACTCGCCCAAACCGCTCGATCTCTGCGACCTCTTCATTGTCCCTGAAAAAGAAAGAGAGAAAAAACGGCCTATAATTTCACAACTTTCGTAGCAGACCATCAACATAGTTGTACACATTTGTCCCAGTTGCACCAAACTTAGGGTTTCCGTAAATATTCTACTTAGTTGTACCCAGTGGTTTCAGTTGTCTCAAATCTGCAATCCTAAAATATTTCAACAAATAACCCTATTCAAGCTACGAATTCAACTTAATCATACTACACTAAGAAAAAAAGTATACTTACCTTACAATATGGTGGGAATAGAAGAAGAAGAAGAAGAGAAGAGATATGTCTTTGGAGATGCAAAATCGTAAGCTTTAATGGTGAGCTTCAATGGTGGATGGAGAAGAAGAAGAAGAACACGAACGTCGGAGCTGCAACGTCAGAGTTGGAGCTGCACCGTCGGAGCTGCTGAAGAACGTCGGAGCTGCAACGTCGGAGCTGTTGAAGAAGAAGAAGAAGAAGAAGAAGAAGAAGAAGAAGAAGGAAGTCTCGTAGGTTTTTTTTTGTCATAAAAGGAAAGACATTTGGTAGGTTTGTATTTTAATGAGAGAAGAGAGAGAAAGTTTTTGATTGGTTGAATAAAAAATGTGTTGGTATTAAATTAAATGTAGAATTAAAGGGATAAGTTGGTTTATGGAAAAATTGGGAAGGAGAGGGAGTAGTGAGAATAAAGAGGGGTTTTCCAAAAATTGATTCACCCCAAAGGGGCTAGAGAGATTTAAATTCCGATATTGTAAAGGCCATGGCCCATGCCCATTTGGGAAGATATATGAACTAATTATTAAAAAAAAAAAAAAAAGTTAAGATCCGGTTAACTCCAGTTTACAATACCCAAAATCAATTTTACTAAACCATATTAAGCCATACTCTAATAGCCTCCCTCAAGATGACAAGTAAATGGATTTAAGTGTCATCTTGCCTATAAGAGAACGAAAATGAGTTGGAAACAAAGGTTTAGTGAACACATCAGCAAGTTATTCATCGGTCTTCACATGTAAAGTCTTGCTCAGACCACTAATCACTTTTTCCCTCACAATGTTGTAGTCTAATTCAACATGTTTTGTGCGTTCGTGGAAACCTGCATTATTGGCTATGTGAATAACAGCAGTTGAATCACAAAAGAAAGCCACATACTTATCTTGAGGAGCTTGAAACTCTTGTAGAAGATTAACAAGCCTAGCAACTTCTCTGACTGCAAACTCTATTGCTTCGTATTCGGACTCCGTAGAGGAATGTGATGCAGTTTGATGTTTCTTGGACTTTCAGGATATGAGTGACTTGCCCAAAAACATACAGAAACCTGAAGTAGATCTCCGAGAATTAAGACAAGATGCCCAATCCGCATCTGTGAAAGCCTGTAATACCAAATCACAATCCGTAGAGTAGAATAGACCATCACCAATTGTACCTTTGACATAATGGAGAACTTTGTGAGCAGCTTTCATATGGGACTCTTTAGGAGCTTGAGTGAATTGACAAAATTTGTTAACCGCATAGGTAATGTCTAATCTAGTGATTGTCACATACATCATTTTTCCTACCAATCTTCTATAAGCTGCAGGGTCTTCCATAGACCATAGGTGGTTCTTCTCCATCTGAAACCAATTTAATGCTAGGCTCCATCGGTATACTTGATGGTTTAGAGGCAAGGAGGCCAGTCTCTTCAAGCAGTCATAATCAAACGGTTAACCGCAATATCTAAAAACTTAGAAGATACCCAAAAATAATATCCAAAACTATGTTTATAAACTCAAAATATTAATAATTTTTAGACTAAAAAAATCAAATACTTTAAATAATCAACATATCTAAATGTTGTCAATAATATCTGTAAAAGTTAAATACTTTTTTATAAAATTGAACCAAATTTTAATTTTCTTCCTATTTTTTTCACTTTTGTCTTCTTTTTTTCAGTTAATTTCGGTTAGTTTCAGTTATATTTGGTTAATTTTGGTTATTTTGGGTAAAAAAACCGAACCATATAAGATTTCGGTTAGTTACGGTTATCTATTCAATCATCCAAACCGAACCATATAAGCCATGTGTCCACCAATAAAAACACGGTCTCCCAAATCAGGAAAAGCTTACTTACTTCAACCCATTTACCACCCTCCTCTAGCCTACTCACTTTACATGTTGGGAACTCTACTTCAACCAGGAAAAGCTCATCGTTGCCAGATGGAACCAGAAAGTTGGAATTGTTATGAGGTGAGAGGAGAGTCGCTTCCAGCGAAGAAGGATCGATAACAAAAATGTCCCCAGTTGAGAAAGATACGGAAATTGGTTTTAGGGTTGAGTCGGGGAAATAACCGAAGGGATTGGGACGGTTGATTTAAGTGAGGCGGTTAAGACTTTTGGGTTTCAGATACATACGAGACGACATCGATTTTTGATAATGTTGTTTGTTATGTTTCTTCGTTCTGTTGATTGTTGTACATAACCTTGGATTCATAACAGATTAGTAAGCAGATGAAAAACAATAAGGAAATCTATGGATTGCGTGTTTTTATGCTTTAGTGACCGAAAATCAGGAGGAACAAGAAATAATATACCAAAAGACATGTAAATTGCCACAATCTGCTGGCTCAACTTCTAACACTGGATTCCTTTCGACCCGACCCGAGACGAACGGGCATCTCTCTAGCTCCCTCTCTAGCCCTTTCTTTTCTACAAACTCCGGTAATCAATAACGGTCACCTCTTCCTCTGGAGCATCTAGGTCTTGGTAGCTGCACCATTTTCTCATATAATAGTTTCTTATAGACGCTGCATTATCAATCATATTGTAAAGGACTCATAGGATAGAGTTAACCAAGTTACCTGCGTAGCCGTCTAGGATCCTGTCTAAAGGCCGGAGACAAAAGAAATGGCGCGGGTCCACCTCTGCCGTTACCTTCGAAAGGAGGATTGGGTCCACTTGGGAACATCTGCATCGCAAACTCAGGTGGTGCAGGTACAAATGGTCCTAGTGGCCTGCTCAAAATATCATTCAGACACCGTTACAGATTATTGATAAAACACAGTAACTCTTTAATTTACTCTGAAAACAAGATCATGAGGGAGTGAGATGATCTTTATTAAGCCTACCCGGCACCGGGAACAGGCATCAGCATTGGTGGTGGGTTTATATCCGATGAGAAGGGAGGAACATGAACACCACCTTGTCCACCAAATGCATCGTACCCAACTTCCCTAGGATTTCCACCATCAGGACCATCACCATCACCTCTCTGTTGATCCTCTGATCGATCATTTCTGTCATTTCCATTAGCACGTCCATCACGCTCTCTGCGTCCACCTCGATCATCCCTCAGTCTGTTCTCCATGCCTGGTCTACGTCTCATAGGTCTATCTCTCTGTCAAAAGAATATTTCACCCGCATAAGTAAAACTCAAAACAAAGCTAAACCAATGAAAATCCAAAGAAACAGACTACTCAAAATTCCGTTAAATGATAAAAAAAAAGATCATGTACCGGGCCAGATTGTTGAGTAGCTGGTTGTCCTCCTGGAGCATTAGGATCACTGCAAATGGCACATATTTTTTTCATTAAGAACCTGTCAGAAACGACAGTAGAAGAATCCAAGATAAAAACTTAACATACTTCATATAGTTCTGCAAATACAGTTCTTCCCGAACTTTGGTAGTCAGCTCTGTGACAAGCTCAGTGTGTTTCAGTTTGAGATGCTTGTACACAAATTCAGCAGCATGAAACAGCTTCGTGCAGCCTTTGGCTCCACAACCATATTTCCAACCATACTTCTCATCTCTAATCTTTCGGACATGTGGATCTAAAGCTTCAGTAGCGGCAGCATCTATCTTCTCTTTGGCAGCCATCACTTCCAAGGGATCTTGACCTTTCAACCTCTCTTGCCAATGAGAGTCAAATTTACTTTCACTCTCATCTCCTTTTGCATCAGAACCTTTTCCTTCAGCTCTCACATGCCTCATACCCTTAGCTTCATATGTTTCAACCTTTCCGTAATAGTCCACACCATGAACACGCCATAGATATGTGACAAGTGTGTCAAGCAATTCAACGCCCTCAAGGCCTTTCACAGATGTC